CACATGTCCCTGTGTCTCATGAGGTTGACAGTGGATCATAGGACATAATTGAGTAAAGCAGCTGACATGTGAAGCGGTCCAAATTGGGCAGATCTGTAGGAGTTCCAGACAGGCAATGGTCAGGGATTGACTTGAACGCCTGAAAGATTGCTACAGCAGGAAGGTAAACCCAGAGGGACCAGGGCAACAGGCAGGCTCCTAGACCAGGGAACCCCGTACAGAAAAGCTGACAGAGATTGTCACGAGAATGAGGGTAAAGTAGAGATCAGGCTTTTAGAACAAGATAAAAGCCCAAGTAAGAGAACAACAGCACAAACTCAGAGCTGGACAACCGGAGAGATGGCTTAGACAAATCTATCATGAAACACTTCACCTGTGCCAGGCAGTGGCCTAAATATTTATCAGTCCTCACAATGAGCATCATTATAAGACAGTTACTATCCCCAATAACTGTTAGACAGTTATTATCCCCATTTTATAGATGAAGAAACTGAGGCACCAAGACATTAAATTTGCCCAAAGTCAACCAGTTAATAAATGGTAGAACTAGAATTTAAATTGAGGCAGTCTAATTGTAGAGCTCTATTTTTGATCACTATACTTTGTACTCCTGACGTTAAGTTATTGAGTGCTTGGCTCAAGCTCCTAATCACCCTGCTTGACATCACCTTTGGTCCTAGAATGGGGGTGCTGAGCTTGGCTGTTGAACCTACTGAGAAGTGGGGGAGGCCCTGGCACCACCTGGCTCAGATAGAAACAGCTGTGTTTCCAGTGCAGAGCAGCTGCAAAGCTACAGCGTGCCTTAATATCCCCATTAAACAAACAAGGAATGAAAGGCATCTGGCCGTTTGAGTTTAGCAGAAGAGAAGATCCAAGTGGAAAAAATGTTATCCTAAATCCTCATCTACAGAAACAGTTGGGGCTGCCCAGAAAAAAGGACAGTAAGAGCAAAACAATACGGGGGAGTTGGCTGCATCGTGACTAATGTGTTCACACGGGTGTAAGTGTGAGCACTGACAAGGGAAGTGTGAAGCAAAAAGTTGAACCTCTGGAAGTAGCGTTGTGCCTTATCTGAGGAAGCTCCTTTTTGGTTGTTTGGAGAATTCTCAGCTTTCAAAATTGCTTTTATCTTTGAAATAAAGATTCCCTAAGTGGAGCAGCAAGCAGGCATCCCCTACTTGCTGAGTGTTTCGTAAAGATTAATAACATGCAGAATTGAGAAGTAAGCCTTACATTCTGCTTTCTCCACCCCCATCTCAAGCATTTTTTTATTCAAATGAGCTAATAAGTATTACACCCTATTACTCACTCTGCACTGAATACAGATAGATATTTGGTTTGTTTAATAATTTTTTGCTTTAGTTTTTACTGAGTGCTTGAAAGGATTAGACAACTGGTTTTTTTTTGTTTTGTTTTTTTTTTTTT